TAAGTACAAAGAAATTCCGACATAGTGTAGAAAGAAAAATCCATACATGCATAAAGAAGGAAAAGAATATGAAAACTCTCCTGCTTTTTAACTCGAATATGTGCTATGATGAATCATCAGAAAACGTTTAAAAGAAAGCTTCTTTGAGAATAGATAATGAGAAAAATGTGTTTAGATAGATAATCCTTGTTTCCTCTGATTATGAATATTCGTTAACGAGTTCTCTTTCATTGTTGTATTTTTCAGTTTGTGAGTATCATGAAGAAGAATTTCAGGATACCAGTTTGTTCTATGACCATTCTCAAGACCGTGGCTCCCTATTCTTCAGAAACTTCTCCCGTAAAACTCATTCTGATGTTCTTGTTTTTGTTTCTCAGTTTCTCTCGCTGTCTGTTCAATATCACTGCAGGTACATATTCGAGTTAAAAAGCAGAAGAGTTTCTATCTTCTTTTCCGCCTTTATGGATTTTTCTTTCTACACTATGTCGGAATTTCTTTGTACTTAACCATTTGACTGATCATGTCTTTGAATAAAGACGAGATGTCTCACAGAAATATGACCATTTTCAAAGTAAAAAAGATGTTCTCACTCGTATCATCCATTTTGAAATTGTTTACATTAAACAACGAATCTATTGGTACTCTTGTTAAAAGTTGTTCTGAAATATTTAAGTGTTCTGTCTTGTCAATGTTCAATGGAAGTACAATCCTTCGATAATGATGAAAAAGCGATACTTTTTTCAAGCAACATTGAATGATTTGATGATCTACTTTCCAATATTCATTTTTGACTCAACTTCCCTCAAGTCTTCGTTGTTTGTATGTCTTTAATGAATAGCTTCTATTACGTTTCTATGAGCCAACATCCGGTACAATTCGAACTGATGGTCGTCCAATTCAAGAGTACAATCTCACATGGTTGAGACAACAAATTGGTGTAGTTAGTCAAGAACCGGTAAATGATATTCTCTAATTGTTTCAGTTTTTATATGATAAGTAAAATATTTCTAGATCTTGTTCGGCACGACTATCTATGAAAATATTCTCTACGGTAGCAATCAGAAGAAGGAAGTATCGATGAATGAAATAGAAGAAGCAAGTAAACAAGCGAATGCACATGAGTTTATCATGAGATTACCAAATGTAAGAAATTGACTTTCTTCCCACTGTTACTATCCCCTTGTTTTTCTTGTTTTATTCATCTAGAAATATTATACAATGGTCGATGAACGTGGTATACATTTAAGTGGGGGACAAAAGCAAAGAAGTACGTGCTTTTTCAAATAAAATAACATAAAAAAATAACAAAACGTAAATTTATTTCTTATTTTTATACAAAAAATAAGTGTTTCTCATTTAAATAGTCGCTATTGCTCGAGCACTGATCGGTAATCCAAAAATATTACTCTTCGACGAAGCAACAAGTGCGTTAGATAATCTTAATGAAAAAATTGTACAAGAAGCTATTGACAGCGCATGTAAAGGTAAAATATAAAATTAACCATTAATTCTTTACATCAATCAAATGGATGAAATTATTTCCAAAAGGTCGCACAACGATTTTCATTGCTCATCGCTTATCAACCATACGAAATGTTGATTGTATCAATGTTATTAGTAAAGGACAAATTATTGAAAGAGCTAATCATAACCAACTAATTTTAAACAAACAAGGTCAATACTATCAAACAGTTCACACACAAAATTTACAAGATGAAGACAATGTGGATGATTTATTGATTGCGAAGGAACCGTACGAACAAGAAAGTCATAGCACAAATATTCCCCGCCATTTTAGCCAAGAAAGTATTGAGGATGATAAAAATGAATCTGCCAAAAATGTACGTAATTTCTTCAATAATTTCTGTTAAGAGTGTGGGAAAGTATAATGCTATGCCGATTTCCAAAGTAGAAAACATACGCAATCATTATTTGTTGTATTCTGTATTTTATCTTCTTCTATTATCACGGTAAAATGAAATATTTGGTTTTCGTTTCGTTTTTGGGCTATGATGAATAATTTTCACACGTGTAAAACTGCAGTGGCACGTAACTTATAAGGACAATCCTTTTACAGATAACAGACAGAACCGACAAATTTCAATTAACATCACTTGACCTTCTGTTTTATATTATGCACAAGGACTGAGGTTGTGCAGTTATTTAAAGATCAGTATCACTCTTGACGAATAGTATAGAATTGACCTCTACTTTTACGAGGATTTGTACTTCTTTTCGCCCATAATGCTACGTTAAAGTTTACTTTTGCAGTTTTCGACAAAAGCGAAATTTATTCGGTTCTGTCTGTTTCTGTACAAAGATTGTCTTTGTATCTCTACTGCAGATTCCTACATGTGAGAATTATGCATCATAGTGATTTAACGTGAAAATTCGAAAAAAACTATAAGGAGTCGGATAGAATAGACATACGCACCAATCGACTCAGTCTTTTATCCTGATTCCGAATATGATACTTTTATTACTCAAAAGTTGAGTTCTGATGGAGAAAATCGAGAATTACGGGCAGAATTCCAACTTTTTAGCCTCTGATTTAGAAAAAATGTATTTCTTAGCACAGAGAAGTAATTTAAAAGAAACGAAACATTAGTTTGTTGCGCGTGAAATGGTAATCCGAATGGCGTAAGAATGAAGACGCCATGACTTGACCGAAAAAACTAGATAGATTTGCAAAATTCGGTAGCGCCAACGGACTAATTCAATCTTATGGGTTTCCAGAACGGATATATTATATGCGATCATGTTCTACGCCACATCTATATCCGTCCAGTAGATCCAGTTTTACATGAGGAATCTGAAAAATCACATTGGTGAGATCGAAAAGTGAAATGGCGAGGAGAAAAACACAATTTTCTCAAACCTAAGTATTTTGTTGTTTTCTCTGTGAAAACTTTGTCAAATCGAAAAACATAGATGGTATTCGTGATCAGTAGCTTATTCTGAATCTAGAAATGTGTGTTCAAGCTACAAATAAAATTTGGTGAAACTTTGAATTACCGTCGCCTTACTAATTACTACTGCGTTTTCTTGTACATACTATCAGTCATTCCGTTGCCATTTGTCGATCAGAAAAGATACCATCTCGGAAACCATAGATCTTCTAACGGGGAGGAAATGTTTATTCTTCTTCTCGCACATTGTATATTCATTATGTATCAAACGTATGTATTGACGAGAGAAAAAGCTTCAGTTCTCATGGGAGAAACGAAAAACAAGCTTAGCTCACTATTGTCCATTTTATTCTTTCTGATTTGGCAATATTGCTAGCTCGGGCACGATGGCACGATTAGATGTTAAAAGGGTTAAAACTATGGATGACCTATTCAAACGAATACACGTTAATATTAATAGCATACGATACCCGGTGAGCGAATATTTTGCGCCAGCAAAAGTTCTGGTCTGTTCAAAATGTTTTAAACTCGGACATTTTCGGAGCAATTGTAAATATGAAAAAGATAAATGCAGGACATGCGGACTGGAGGTGGATGATATTAAAAAACATAGAGAAGAAAATTGTGATAAACAGCCGCATTGCATTAGATGTAAAAATAATCACGATTCAACCGATTTGAGATGCCCAACTATTAATACCTTTCGTACCGAATTAACAAAGTCTCTGTTATCTTCATCTACATATGACAACAATAAACAACAGCAACGACAACAAGGATTTGTACGACAGAATGGTATTAAGGAGCTCCCACCATTGAATGTAAACACAACTCAGAATACATGGGGGTGGAGGGCGAATGATGAAGTATATAATCGTCTGAATCGACTCGATCGCGATGTCAGGGATATTTCTGATCAACTGAAGTATTTATTAGATATAAATAAAAAGCAGCTTGCACAACAAAAACAAATAACTGAATTAACCACGTCACATGCAGTACTTATTCATCAAAATAGTCAAAAATTAATGTCTCAACAAGTTGAGGTTACTTTTTTGGGTGAAACTATCGAAAACTTTCTTATGCCAATTTATCAAACGGTATTACAAGTGCTACCAAAATTAATCCAACAAGAATCAATTCCAACTACTTCAATTGAATCTCTAGCTCAACGATACGATTATCATTTAAATGCCTTCTCCGAGTGGAAATTACAGTATAAGGATAAAGAAATGGAAAAAGAGAAAATAGAAAAAATGTCACAATTAGCATCTTATGTCAATCAAGGTACGAAACTATGACTCTATCCGCTCTAGCCCCTTCTTTTATTTTTTCCCCTTTATCTACTAGAAAAAAAGGTTTTGATTTTGATTTTGCGCTCCAGTTATGTGAACCTCTACTCTCGCATTTTAATTTTTCGCTTTTGTCTGATATTGTAATGGAGTGGAACTCTTTCCCCACTCTAAACGCGTGCCTTTCGTCGTGGAAACGTTTTGAGCAGGACGATTTATCTTCGTCTGCGTCCATATAAGGACGGGGTACCCTTTAACCCGCTAAGAGATATTGAAAGCGATTGTTATCATTATGCTTAGAATTGCTTCAAACCGCAGGACATTCCCTAGTCAAAGATATTTTTCAAATTTAGATAAGAGTCTTGTAAGATTCTTATCAGAATCTTATATAAGAAGTGGCACGAATGTCATAAGAATCAGGTAAGAGTCTTATAAGAATCATGTAAGAAGTTCATAAGAATTTGATAAGAATTTGTCCGCTTTCTTATGTTGTTCTTATCAGATTCTTATCAATGTCTTACTAGAATCTTATAAGATTCTTATCTAATTCTTATAAGAAACGCTACACATATTTCTGGTAGAATTTTGCCTTTTCCCTTTATATTATTGATATTTTCGTTTTTTGTTTTCTATCAGCCGTGTTTTTGACAATATTATTTATCACTTATTTTTTAGCAACGTATATGAGTTTAACAAATACAAGTACAAGTGTCAAAAAATCAAGTTATCGTAGTTTGAGCTTTTTCATTCTTCGACATTAGATTTCAGTACTTTTTAGCACCGACTGAAGATTTTTAGTGGAATAATAACGGAAAACAAAAAGTAACATCTAGAGACAGTATATGTGCATGTGTGTAGTGGTCGAATGCTAAAAAATTATTGGTCGATTGATTCATGTGGGTAACGGTCAAAAAAAAGATATCAATTAAAAATAAATCGTAGACGTTTCTACTCTAGCAAGCGTAAGATAATAGTTTTTATATTTATAAGGAAGTAAGCTTAACAAATGAATTAAAGTGTGCACAGAAATGATAATTTGAATCTTTTATCTTACATTTAATTTAACCAGATTATATCAAATTTTCGATACCGCAACTTGAGATTAGATTCAACGTAAGGCTTCTGTGTTTTCATATAGCCAAGAGTCTGATAAATTTAGTTCCATTATTCTTTTTGCTTGTTATCATTTCTCAACATCTTCCCACTTTTTCTCTCCTAGAAAATTTTTCTGACATAATGGCACATTCCTTAAATGTGCAAGAACAACTTGCTCTAACTGAAGTTCAGCAGACAATTTCTTGGAGACGGCATCGAAGTAAAAAAGAACTGAAACGGCGAAAAGAACGTCGGAAACAACAAGAACAACAGCAACAGGCGTATGTTACAGATGAGGTAAGTGATGAGAATTCGGAAGCTAGTGACCGTAAGGTAGGTAGTTTTTTTGGTATGGACTGGGCTGCTGTATCTCCTGCTGTTCGATCTGTTGTCATCAATCCACAAGAGGTTAAGGCTGAATTGAATGATTTTTCAGATTCAAGTTTGTCCAATCAATTTTTTGATGAATCATCCGAGTCAGAAAGTGAAGATATTGATCCTCGCTGGACTGATGATGTTGTGAGAAGCAAACTGAAATCTATCCATCCCTACACAAATCTTTCAACATTTGATTTTTGTCTTCAGTTTTTAGCTACGGCTCGTGCCAGCCTACTAGACAAAAGTACCATAACACGTTTGCTGTTGTTTATGTCCAAAACATTTCCTCACCCAAACAATGTTCCACGTTCATTTGAAAATCTGAGAAAAATTGTACCTATTCGAGCGTCTTTTTCCAAAAGTGTTGTTTGTTCTTTATGCTGGACAGAGCTTGTCACTCAGAATTTTTGTCCCTGTTCTGCTAAACGTAAACTTGAGAATGTACAAGAAGTCTACACTATTGATGTTAAGAAAGAATTATCATCTGTCGTACAAAAAGCTTGGCCGTCTATATTTGATTATGAGGCCAAATCGGAAAATAGTCCTGAGTTGTGTGGTAGAGATATTGTGACTGGCAGAGCGTATCAAGAAATACTCAAAAAGAAAACTAATCACACCCTCACATTATTCTTTAGTGGTGATGGCGTTCCACTTTGTGTCAGTAATTCAAAAGCGGCGTGGATTTTCTCTGCTGGAATTGTGGAAATTCCACCCACTTTCCGCTATTCATTTCAAAATATGCTTCTTCTTCAATTTAGTATTGGGTTAGAAAAGCCAAATGTCAAAGTGACATTAGACTCAACAATTGCTCAACTTCTTCATCTCAGACAACATGGCTTGACTCTATTTTTAAACCATCAACAAACAAAATTTGATATACATTTTCTGTTTTTTACGGCCGATTCTCCTGCTTTGTCTCTCTTTTCTAATTTCATAAGTAGTGCGGGTCTTTCTTCTTGTTATATTTGTGAAAATCATGGTGTTTACGATTTCCAACTCAAAAAGGTTGTTTATAAGGCCGTTGATAATCCACTTCGTACTCTGAGACAATATTATCAGGATGCTTCGAGCGCGGCAGAAAAAAGAAGACAGTCTCGTGCCAAAAAAGATCCCACATGCCAAGGTGTTAAAGGATTTTCTGTGCTCGAGCCGCTTTTTCCCAGGCGACTAATTCATTGTCTAAGACCTGATTATATGCACAGCACGATAAAGTGTGTTTTTGATTCTATGTTAACTATCGTTCTTCAAACACTGCCGAAAAATATCGTCGATGTTATTGATAATCGTTTATTAAGTGTTTGTTTACCTCATGACTTTAGCAGAAAATTACGTTCTCTGACATATCGAAATTATTATAAGGCCAACGAGTCAAGGACGTTGCTATTGTATGTTTTCCTTCCATGTTTAGTTGGTCAAATAGATATTGAATTGTTTGCTCGTATCTGTCTATTTGTTTGTGGTATTCGTCTTGTTCATGGTGATACTCTTGTTCTTGATAACTCGAATGCTCTTGCTGACAATTTTTTTTCTTTGTTTGTTCTATCAAATGACGATGAGTTAAGTGGATTAGCAAATTTATCTCTTCATATTCACACACATTATGGATTTTTGACTAACCAATTTGGGAGTGTGAACGCAACTAGTTGTTTTCCGTTTGAAGGATTTTTACGTTTGTTTATAAGAAACAAACATGGTACAACTTATTTTGGTGATCAGTTGAGTCTTTACCATGATATCGATCGTTATCTTTCGTCTGTTGATGATACTCTTTTTACTTCACCAGATCCGTTGACTGTTCAACCTCTTGATGTTTTTGTTGACGATTGTTTAGAACAACAAATTGCTCAGTTTCAAATGTGCACTTGCCATTTGAAACTATATCGTCGTCTTAGAATAAAAAATATTTTATTTCATTCCTTGTCTTATACACGTCGTGGAAATTCTAACAGCTATACTGCTGAGATATCCTCAAGTCATACCAGTCCCTCTGACAGAGATAGAGCTTTTGCCGATGCTATTTGTTTTGTTGACTGCCAGCATGGTAGTTTTTGTTTTGGAGAAATTGTTGAGGAAGATCCCGCAGCAAAATTCTCAGACTATGCACATTCCACTATTTATTCGAATATTCTAACAAAAACTGTCAACTTCTTTTTTGCTGTTGTACCTCTACCCAAAAAAAAATCCTTTCGACTTTTCTCTGTGAAAGATTTGATAAGAAAATGTATCATTATTGAACTGGATAATGTTCTTATTTATACACCACTTTCTCTCAATTTCGAGCATGACTGAAGAATCGAGACATTGTATTTCCACTAATTTTGTTTTTTATTTTTTGTTTGCTACAGTTTTCTGTTAGTTCTACTTTGTCAGTTAATTAAGTCTTTTCTCTTTTCTTCATCCTCTAATCACTTGAATAACGAAAAACCACGACTTCAAAAGAGCGCCTTTTCGTCGGTGAGAACATAAGTACGTATCTTTTGGCAAAACTACGAACTGAGTTTTTCTACGACTATTGTTTACTTTTCATTTCAGATTAATAATTCGACTAATGATCAACCATTTATCATCTGAAGCATTACCACCTCGTTCAAATCGTGGACAAACAAATAAATATGCTGAACAATCAATATTGTCAACATCATCATCATCATCCAACATTTATTGCTTAGTACATTTTCCAGAAGAACAAATGTATACGTCAATACTCAAATCAAAAATAACAGCAGCCACTGATATGAAAAATGTTGGTACAATTAATTACCAAGGTCAAAAGCATTTAGTTGTTATTTTACACGAGGGTAAGTGCCTGTTTTTTATCATATCTAGCATGGCCTCTCATTATTTCGTTTTAGGAACTCAAAAACAAATGGAAAAAAGGGCAAAATTATTTGAGCCTGTTATGGCAACAACGAATGATGAAGATGAAGCTTTAGATGAAAATCAACTAGAAAATAACGAACCAACATCTGAAAAACGAAAATCACATGGTATATGTGTGAATCCTGCTTTAAAAGTAGTTTTCTCATAATAATTTTTTTTTATTTTTTATTTCAGATCAATCAACATGCGTTTATCCAGATGATCGAACAACATCGAAACGACGAAAAATGTTAGATAAGACAAATGAAATGCTTAGTGGTGATAAAAATCGTTCAGTTAGACCAAATCAATGTGATACAGAACATGAAGATCAAATTACAACTGCCCGCGAACCGGACAAACAACTTGGTGGTCTCCACAGCGACAGCAGCGAACAAGAAGAAGAAACTCAACTCTCAACTTCACCACCACCTCCTTTCATCGGTACACTTTCAACAATTACCACAACATCAATAAACCAGCAAAATCGAGGACAACAATCAACCAGTGGTTCAGGTTCATCTGAAGAATCATCATCTGAAGATGAAGAGGATGATGTCGACCATCACCCACCATCACGTGAAGAAACAGAAAATCGTCAACACCCTGCTGTTTTTACAGAAAAAAAACGGAAAATTAAACAATCATTTGTTGATACTCAATCAACAAAAAGAATTTGTGATCAATTGAGAGGTTTAAGAAAAAGCATTCATATCTTGGTATGTAAAAAGAAAACATTTTGTTTAATCTCCCTCACGTTTTTGTTGTATATATTTGATTAGATACAAAATCAAACCACAAAAAATCATCAACATATTGAAGAACAACCACTAGTGAGTTTAATATTTCTCAAAACACTATCGATCTTCGGTATTATATGTATTTTTAGATATGTGATGGAATAAATTTATTTGAAATTCCTGGTTCAACACCAATGGAATTTGCACGAAATATTTTTGCCGAATTATTTACAGTTGAAGAAATGAAAAACAAAAAATTACCCGGCAACAAAAAACTAAGAAAGTTAGATCTAGTTCAACTGAATGAACAACGACTCGATGTTGATAAAATTACCGCATTAAAATGTATGTCTTTCATTTATTTTGCTTTTGAGATAAGAGAAGTCGGACAGGTACTAGAGTTCTATCAATAACAAAGAATAGTTGGGCTGTGTTTCCGTACGCTAACGTTTCACGAGCGTAGAAGTGGCTTGCGAAAACAGATAGAAAGAGCTGAAAAGTGGAGAGTACTCGATTTTCTTCTCATCAGAAAACTCAATAGAGAATACATTTCTAAAACGACGTTTTGGCTTCCTGTTTTAGCTGCTATTCGTGAAAAATTTGAATTAAGGCCAAGTGTATTTGCCGATTTATGGAAAAAAACGATTTATAAAAAATTATCGCAAATTTGTATAGATAAACGAAACAAATAAACTGTGTTTGGCTCGAGTATTTTTTTATATATATATATATATATGTCTCTCTACTTTGGTACCATTGTGTTTGTGATAAAAGAAATATTCTTCATTACTATTTTTTTATTGTTTTATGTGAAAAAAAAATTGTTTCTGTTTTTTCTCTAATCATGTACTTTGACATATGTGATCAACTCAAAGTAACATTTTCATTGCTGTTTACCTTTTATATGTTCACGAACAAATATTTTTTATAAATAGTAAAATAAATAATAACCGTTGGTAAAAACACGGTAGATAGAAAACAAGAAACGAAAATATCAATAATATAAAGGGAAAAGGCAAAATTCTAGCAGAAATATGTAGCGTTTCTTATAAGAATTAGATAAGAATCTTATAAGATTCTAGTAAGACATTGATAAGAATCTGATAAGAACAACATAAGAAAGCGGACAAATTCTTATCAAATTCTTATGAACTTCTTACAT